TAATTTTTTCAACAGACAAGTAAAATAAACACATTTTTGTTTTGAATTATGAAAGTTGAATAGTGAAAACTGATAACTTTTCAAACAAGTTAAAAAAAGTACAACTTTTGATGTTAGACTCTTTAATGTGATGTCTGCCGAAATTTAATTTTTTATTAAACACTCAAAGTTAGTTCAAATTAGTTCAAATTTCATTCTGAGATTAGATTTTTTTCAACAATTATCTCCTGTATTAAAATCCGACTCCAATGATCAAACGATTCTATTCACTGATGTGATTACTCACATGCACTTGCTATGTCAATAAAGATTGTTATTAAAATCGAAAGTTTAATCAAATGCTGCATCGTCGTCCACTTGTTGTGTTCAGACTGTTTTCAAAGTTTTCAATTTGATTACGTATGTAAACGCCTGACGATCGGACCTATACGCAAAATGTTGATTATTCAGATCGCTTTCGAAAAATCGTTTTGCGATTGACACATCCTTCGGGCACATTCACACGAAGATCATTACACGGACGTTTTTTTTTTCAAATTATTTTTGGTAACCAAGGGAAAAAGGTTTTTTCTATTTGATTCGCATGGACTTTTTATTTTTAAATGACGTTTGATACTTAACAGTTGCTTGCAGGAAGCAAAAAGTTTTCCAACGACTGAAAGCAGCTTTTTTGATAAAAAGAAACATTGTACAAAAATGCTTGAGTTGTATACTCTGACCTCGGAAACGTATGAAAAACACTTTTTTTGAGTTGACTCAATACCTTACAAACTCATCAGTAGTATGCGAGTTTTTAACGCATCTGTTGGTCTATGGCAAAGATATTGCCCAGTGTAAAAACGAATTTCAAGAAAAAGTGCTTTAAAATTTAATTCTTTTAATTCCTTATTTATTTACTTTTATCTCGGAAACAGAACAATGCATAGTCGTAAGTTGAGAGTAGTAATATGGAATTAAGATCGTAATAGATGTTTGCCAATGCCTAGTACTTTTCTTCACAAATGAAATTGAATTTGTTGATGTAGCAATTGGCATCATCAAATTGATAGTTACGATAGCGATCCAAAATCATGCAATTTTGTTGTCCACCGTAGTTATCTGGTTGACCATTGGCCCAATTTTCATTAAAGGTTACTTCCTTGTTAGTTGTAGCCCAAAAGTATTTTTCATTGTAACTGTCTAGATTAGTGCCAGACGTCCAAATATATCTCGTATTCAATCCTGTGTGGGGAAAAAAAGTTCATATAGTGAAATCAGAGTTTTTTTTTCTCGATGATTCTAATTGAAATTAGTTTGCTACACACTGTGGTGTGTCCGAAAAAGTAATAAAATACATGTATTCACAATAAGAGACTAGTGCAAAACGGAAATTGGAAAAATTCTAGTACTTTGTACGAAGCACGTTTAAAAGCGACTTCGAAATAATTAACAGACATTTTCGATTTCTTACTAATAAGCAAACATACCATTACTTTGGATTACATCAACAACCTCATCCAACTTCCTTCGCGATTCAATGCTAACTAATCGCATATTATATCCATCGCAATAGTTATATGCGTCTAACCAAGTTTTCTTGAATTTTTTTTTATTAATACCAATTTGTTCATTATTTGACTGAGTATTGATGAATACTCACCTTTTCCCATACAATAGAATAACCTTTAGCAGCAGCAAATTCTATGGAATTTTCATGAGTTGAAAAGATTGACAAAAGTATTAAATATCAAGTAGATTTGCTAAAAGTAGTGAATTTTTTATACCAATGCTGATGAGCGTCACAATCATGAGCAAGCACAACTTCATCGTCATTTTCAAATGTTATTTGCGGTAGGCACAGGAGTCAAGTCTTTCTGAAAAATATATATGATTTTATATTTTGAGGTTTTTTATGGAAAATATTTCGAATGTTTTTTCTTTGATATTAAAATTGATGACACAAAATTTCGAAAAGTCTCCACTGCTGCAGAATGTGGTTAATTCAATGTATTTTGACTTACCTCAAAGATAAAGCTCGAATCTAATGCTTCACTACTGAAGCCACTTTCTTTATATATTCATTCCAGATACTCAAGAAAACGAAATAAACAACATTTTATCATACATTTTTTATTATTTTGTGCATAATAAAGTAAAAGTCATGCATTTCCTCATAAATCAGTCTTATAAAAGAATTAAGGGAGAGATAACATTTTGGACTTTTGTTGACTCATTTGAGCTGATGTTGAGCAGATGATTTTTATTTGTTCAAAATTTTATTTTAAGTTTATTTCCACAGCATGAAATCGTCATTCGCAAAGAGCTCTCGGAATGTAGATAAGATTCGTATCATAAGACGATCTACATTTTATACCCACGTTTTCATTCATCATATGTGCATGCTTTCTCTCAATTATTAATAGTTGTATGTCTGTAATTATGATCCTCTTCGAAACAATTCGATTGACTTAATGAAAAAACTTATTTAATGTAAAACACAAAAAACGAAGAAGAAAAAAGAAAGTTTTACCCGGCTTTTTGATTGGAGTCGTTTCTAGAACGAATTCCAATCGTGGTAATTAGTATAGTTCCAATCCTCTTCGATTCCACATACGTTCAATTGAAGTAAAGTCGCGTCATGAAAGTCAAGGCTTTCAACAAATATTTTTTACTTTATTTTCTGACCGCTCAAACACTGTGTGCTCCGATAGCTTTGAAACCAAAATATTTGAAATGGATTCCATTAGCAGTCCACTCGATTATAACCATAATTTGCACATATTTTATAATCAGTGAGAGATGGCATACTAATAAATCTCTAACTGATTGGATGTTGGATATTTTCAAGCTGAATCTAATGTTCCCAAGTGTGTTTATAATAATTTCAAATATTTCCACCAAAAGCAAATTACAAAGCATTCTGAACACTATACTTAACGTAAAAACCAATATCGAACAAGAATTTGGTGTGAATTTTAGCGCTAAAAAATTTATAAATTCTCACAATTATTACATTTTCATAAGATTGAGTTTTCATTTGATCACTTCTATGAATCGCGAACTTATATCACTTTCTGGATGTAGCAAAACGACTGGAAGAATTATAACAACAATAAAATTGTTCAATGTAGCGTTTGAACTTTATTTTTTATTCCACGTCGACTTGATGCATTCCATTTTGAAGTTATTGAACACAAACCTGAATCGACATTCAAAATTGGAGATACTCGATGGAAATCGGCGTTTCCACCTACTAAATTACATATCATCTGTTTATTTGGAAATATGGGTGATTAAAAGTAACATTGAACGTCGTTTTGGTTGGACATTGCTGGCAGTGCTCTTAGATAAATTCATTCAACTCACAATTCATCCGTATGACATGTATCGGCTGATTTCTGGCAATGGCACTGTCATACAAATTATGCGTAAATAATTCTTTTTCCGCAATAACTAAATGTTTTACAGGTTGCTTGATGTCCCACTGTATGATTGAATTTTATTGTCAATAGGTGCTACGTGCAACTTATTGATTACTGTTGTAACTACAATGGTTCTGATAAATGCATGCCATAACTGTAACTTTCAGGTGATTTCTCTGTTTTATTTCTTTTGTGACACCATTTCAGCATAGTTCATCCATTTCCATGCTAGAAAATTGAATTAATTGAAAACATCGCAAAACTAACGTTTGGTGTTGGTGATAATGAAAATGTACACTTTGTCAAACAAGAGCTTTTACTGCAAATCGATCATTTGGACCTATCGATTAGTGACAAAGGATTCTTTATTATCGATCGACGATTTTTTGCCGGAGTAAATTGAATGGTGATCTGACCTAGATCTTCTTTTTATTTGAGATTTATTTTTTCAGATGGCTGGCGCTTGTTGCACTTTCATCGTCATTTTTATTCAGTTCCATGTGGCTGAAAAATGAGAATATCGCACAAAACATGATGAATTCGTGTAAAGAGAATATTCTATCAAAGTTTTATGATCATTGAAGTTGTTTGCTGGAAAATATTAATAAATATGTTTGTGGCCATCAAAATGTCTTTTCGTTCATTTACATTCGTTCTAATTCAATGAATAACATCAACAAAATTTAATGGAAAACGGGATTTTTTTTATTGATGGAAGCAGATCTTACATCTGGTGAAAGATAATAGTCTGAAGTTCATTCATCCCAGATTCAAGGTACCCTGTTACCCGATAATTGAGAGAAAGAGTGCACCGAAAGTAAGTAGATATAATGTATGAAAACGTGGGTATAAAATGTAGATCACATCGTCTTATGATAAGAATCTTATCAACATTTCGATTTAATACAAAAAGTTCAAGTATCTCTTTTATGATCTACTACCAAAATTGCCTCCTGTTTATATATTTCTTTTCAGAAACGTAGACATAAAAAAACAACGTTTTTGCTTACCGAATTATCACATAAGTTTTTTATCAGAAGTATTAGCATGAAACAACTCATTATTAGTGTCTCAGACTTATCAGCTGGTTTCAACTTTGTCAGATTTATACCATAATTTGTGATCCGTAACAAATAATCTGGGTTCATGTGCTTTTTTTGTTACAATCTGTGGTTCTTTTATCATACTGTTTTTATTATTCATTTGCCGAATGCTATCATTCCTTTGAGCTGTGCAAATTTCTTTCTTATTTTTGCACGTGCGTACGAAGCGGAAGTAAAATCAAAGATTAATTTCAAGTCCAAATTAAAGATAAAGTAAACATAATTCAAAATTATCCCTTATATCTTTTCTGTTCCTATAACTGGGCCAATGACAATACATGGTTGTTATTTATGATTTTGCACCAAGTGAGATCACTGATAACATGTTTTGTATCGTACATTGTGTGTGTGGAAAAAGTATAAAAAGAAATTGGTCTTGGCAGAAATTCAACACATCACTCGAGCTTTCTTTAAGGTAAGTCGAAATACAGGGATTTTGTAAATTCCCAATGGGAAGTGAGAATAATACATAAAATCTAAGAAAAACACTTTGGATATTTTTGAAGAAATTCTCGCTTTGAGAAGCTGATCAGCTGATCACTGATAACGAGCAGCATAATATCACAAGTTAAAAAAAATTAAAATTGATTTCTGCTCCTACGTGCTCGTCCAGCTCTTCAGAGCGCTCCTCCTCACATATATTGAGAAACAGTCTCTAATTTTTACACTTTTTTTCAGAAGTTTAATGACCAATTCTGTGCTGATCTTCAATTAGCCGCAAATAATATTTGAATTATAAAAAATGTTAAAATTGTGCCTATTCGCGATTCTAGCCCTCACCGGCATTGGTATAAACTATTCGGATTTCGAACAGTTCTAATTGATTTTTAATACATATTTCGTTTCTTTTCCAAAGCAATTTCCAATTGCAAATCCATTCATAGCTATCAAACATTTCCGCCCGTAAACAAAACGAATGAATGTGATAACGTGTGTCAAACACCTGGCTGCATCCACGAAGCCTCACGTATTCTCGGCCAGATGGATGAATCGGTAGATCCGTGCAATGATTTCTACAGGTAGTAGATCATAAAAGAGATACTTCAACTTTTTGAATTAAATCGGAATGTAGATAAGATTCGTATCATAAAACGATGTGAATTATCTACATTTTTTACCCTCGTTTTCATACATTATATCTGCTTACTTTCGGTGCACCCTTTCTACAGTTTTGCATGCGGAAAATTTGTGAAAGAGACAATCATTCCGGATGAAAAAGCGGGAGTTACCCCATTTTCGATAGTTGGGGATAAACTCCAAGAGCAGCTACGTTCATTGCTTCGCGAGAAAATCAATCCAAATGATTCACCACCATTTAATTTGGCGAAAAAATTGTATAAAGCATGCATGAACAAAACACAGATTGAAGCAATTGGATTGAAACCATTACGCGATATCACCGATAGACTTGGTGGATGGCCAGTTGTCAAGGGTTACGATTGGAACACAAAATCCGACTGGAGTTGGACATGGGCCGTTAAGGAATTCCGTAAATATGGCTTCAGCATGGATTATATTTTTGATTTATCCATTGGCACCGATTTTAAAAATTCAACAGTACGAGTACTTGCAGTAAGTATCGATTTCATTTCACGATGAAATTTGTTATAAAATTGCTTACATTACTTGTTTTTCACAGATCGATCAAGCTGCATTGGGTTTAAGTCGTGAATATTTGACTAAAGGATTTGATGATAAAATCGTTAAGGCGTACTATGAATATATGGTGGATATGGCGGTTATTTATGGTGCCGATCGCAGGCACGCTGAACGAGAGCTTAAGGAATCACTTCAGTTTGAAATGAAATTGGCCAATGTAAGTCCCCACTAGCTCTTCTAGAGAGTCGAATGTGAACCAAGATTATTTTCTTTTTCTTTCATAATAGATTTCATCGTCAAGTGAAGAACGAAGAAACTACACAGCACTGTACAATCCATACACGCTGCGAGACGTACAAAAGATGTATCCATACATTCAATGGGTTGCGTACATAAATGCGTTGATGATGTCAATCCAATCTGTCAACGAGAATGAAGTTATCGTAGTTAGTGTACCGTCTTACTTCAAAAAATTGGGTCAATTATTGCAAGACACTCCCAAGCGTACCATCGCTAACTATATGATGTGGCGCATTACATCTTATTCATCGTTCTTCCTCACTAGTGAATTGCGCAACAGGCAATTGATTTACAGAACGGCCGTAAACGGTATACAAGAACAAGGAGCGAGATGGAAGGAATGTACTGATCTCACTAAGGAAAGGTAAAAACTCTCTTTTTCCAAAAAATTAGATGGCTTCATAATTTCGATTTCGATTTAGTTTGCCAATGGCTGTTGGTGCATTGTATGTTCGAAAGCACTTCCAACAAGACTCAAAAGCCGCTGCTATGGATATGGTGAATCGAATCCGCAATGAAATGGAGCTTATTTTAAACGATGCCAAATGGATGGATGACGAAACACGCCAATCGGCTCTCAATAAATTGAAAGCAATGTCGACATACGTCGGATATCCCGATGAAATGATGAACGATTCTAAAATTGAAGAATACCACAAAAACGTAGAAATCGACGAAAATAACTATCTGTTGTCCTATTTGAATTTGAGTGTGTTTGGTACTGATCTTGGTTTTAAGGAATTTCGTAAGCCATACATCAAAACCGATTGGACCATGCATTCGGATCCAGCTATAGTCAACGCTTTTTACTCTTCCATCTCAAATAGCATAGGTTAGAATGACATAATACAAGTTTCGTGATGATTCTCTTTAAAAATTGAATTTCAATCAAATTATTACAGAATTTCCGGCAGGAGTTCTACAGGGCAATTTCTTCTCGTCCAACCGTAAGTTCTGCATATTTAAAAAAAAACAATTTGATGAAGTGCACTGCATTCCATTATTTTAATGGTGTCGTTTTTTCCTAATAGGTCCAACATATTTGAACTATGGAGGAATTGGTATGATCATTGGGCATGAAATAACACATGGCTTTGACGATCAGGGGAGTCAATTTGGTAGTCATCAACCGTATACATTTCAATTTTTACATAAATAAATGTTATTTTTTTCTTTGAAAAAAAAAAAAGATCTAAATGGTAATTTGGTTGATTGGTGGAAACCTGAAACGAAGGTTCATTATTTGGAAAAGGCAAAGTGCATAATTGAACAATACGGAAACTATACAGAGCCGTTGACCGGACTTAAGGTAATTTTTTGTATTTCTATTACCTTTCCATTCTTTTCTATACAAATTTTGATGTGTTTTCGAACTGAAAACGAGCAGTTGAATGGCATCAACACACAAGGAGAGAATATTGCCGATAATGGAGGTATCAAAGAAACTTATCTCGCTTATCGAAAATGGCAAAAAGAAAATGACCGAGAACAAAGATTGCCCGGCTTGAATTACACCGCACAACAAATGTTTTGGCTCTCAGCAGCACAGACGTGGTGCAATTCATATAGACCAGGTAATTAATGTTATATTTTTATTGAAGACCTACCACGTGAGCACCTTTACCTTCTATATTTTTAGAATCGATCAAATCACTGATTATACCAGACGTGCATAGTCCAGGGCAATTTCGTGTACTTGGACCATTGAGAAATCGCCAAGAATTTGCCGATGATTTCAATTGCCCAATGGGAAGTCCGATGAATCCGGCCAAAAAATGTGAAGTTTGGTAGTCATATAATTCTAAAAATTTGAATTTATCACAAGCTCCTTATCAGTTGGCTGAGTTTTCATCTGAGAAATAAGACAATCCGTTTGAGTCTTGGATCTTTATGATTTCAAGTAATTTATTAGTTTAGTTTTACGGTTATAAGTAAGCAAAAATGTAAATAAAGCAAAGCAGCACATTAGGCAGTTTTCATGTGATACATTTTGTGGACGAAATAAATATTTATTTGAAATAACAAGCTGGGTCGTTATTACTTTTCCGCACACACCTAGTGTGTAAGATAAAGTATTGAAATCGGTCGAAAAATTAACACCCCCAAAAAACATGTTTTCTGGGTTTTTTGAGAGCCAGGGAACACGAATCAGTCGTTTTTTCGATGTCCCAATGTATGTGCGTGGTACAATAATTATTTGTTATTTGTCTACTTGTTGATGTTAAGAGAATTTTTGAACAATAGTTCCTTAGATTTGATGTAAGTACAATCGGCTAATTCGAATGATCTTCTGAACTCACAGAAACGCTGTGACATTGCTCAAATCATCAGAATTGATTAAGGCACTTTTCCTCATCAAAAGGCGTTGTCTAAACTGTTTTCTACTAGCGCTTGTCTCTTGACTTATGCATTGCGATGAATTAAACATGCTTTTGTGTGGTGGTTGACTTTGAAGACATATGAAACTGGATAAAAATGACGACATAAGTGCAACAAACGCCAACCATCTGAAAATAGAAATCTGAAATGAGCAGAAGATCTAAGGTAAAACATTCGGTTCCCAATGTACTCCAGCGAAAAATCGGCGATCAATGATAAAAAATCCTTTTGCACTTAGCGATAAGTCCAACTGATCGATTTGTAATAAGAGCCCCTGCTTGGCATATTGTAATTTTTCATTATCACCCCGTCCGAACGTTAGTTTTTCAATGTTTTTGATTAATTCAATTTTCTAGCATAGAAATGGATGTATTATGGTTAAATTGTGTCACAAAGAAATAATAAAACCTTGAAATCACCTGAGCGCTATAGTTATGGCATGAATTTATCAAAATGATTGTGGTTACAACAGCAATCAATAAAATATACACTGTACCTGTTGACGAAAAAGCTATTATTATTAAAATCAATAAAAGAGTAAAAAAAAGAAAGAAAAATCGTTTGACGAAAGAAAAAAGGTCGCTAAATTTACGCATAATCTGCAAGATGCCTCCGTGATCTCTAATAAGCCAAAAAGTGTCAAACGGATAAATTGTGAATTGAATGAATTTATCTAAAAGCAGTGCCATCAATATCCAACCAAAACGACGTTCAATATTACTTTTAATCATCCATATCTCCAAATACACAAACGATATGTAATTTAATACACGCAGACGTTGAATTTCATCGATTTTGTTCAATTTTGAATGTTGACTCAGACTCGTATTCAAGAGCTTTAATGTAGAATGCATCAAGTCGATGTGGAACATAAAATAGAGTTCAAATGCAAAATTGAACACTTTCATTGTTGTTAGAACTCTTTCAGTCGTTTTGCTGCATGTAAACACCGGGATGAATTCACGGCAAATCATTAAAATTACATGAAAACTCGTTCGTATGAAAATGTTGCAATTGTGACAGCGTATAAATTTGCCAGCATTAAAATTTACACCAAATTCCTGTTCAATGTTAGTTTTCATGTTCAGTATAATATTTAGAATGTTTTGCAATTTATCTTTCGCAGAGATATTTGAAATTATTATTAACACACTGGGAACAATCAGATTCAGTTTGAAAATATCAAACATCCGATCAACTAAAGAGTTTTTGACGTGCCATCTCTCACTGATTATAAAATATGTGCAAATTGTGGTTATGATCGAATGGATTGTTAAGGGGATCCATTTTATGTATTTTCGATTCAAAGCTTTGGGGACACAGAGTGTTTGAGCGGTCAAAAAATAGAGTAAATAGTACTTGTTGAAGGTCTTGACTTCCATTATGACAGTTTGCTTCATGTGGAAAAGATGAAGGTTGAAACTATACTAATTACGATTGGTGTTCATGATTTTCTATTGGAATTTATTGAATTCATGCTTTCAATGGAAAAACCACGGAAAAACGAAGTTCATTAAAAGGTTTCTGGTTAATGCTTTTTTCCAAGAATTTCAACTAATTATTGTGGATTTTTTCGTTTAATTAGATGCCGTAGTGCCGTAGAATGGTATTTTTGATAAACATAATGCAAAATATGAATAGACTACATAAAAGCGTCAATCAAAGCAGTAAAATCATCGAGCACGACTTTTTTCCATGTGACAAAACACGTACACTCACCTTGACCTTACCTTGTTTCGAGTGAAAAAATTTATTCCAAAGGATCGAGTACTATCTGTCAAAATATTTCCCCCTATGCCAAGCGAAATTAATTCGATATACGGCGCTGATGTAAATGTCACTCTGTCATTTCACAATAATACTTTTTTGGCTTGACAATATATAAGCTCTTCATTTAAAATGCATACACATTCATAATTATTGAATCGTTGAAAAAAAAACATGTCATAAAATATTTTTCTAACATTTTTCATTAAAAAATTTATTAAATTTTTTTTTATAAAAAAATTAATTTGTTTATAAATTACAATAATTTCAACAAAAAATGTTTCATCGATTAAATAAGAATCCAATGTAAATAGTAATGACAATGCGACACCTACCGTAAAAATGCAAAAAGAAACTTAGTTGGTATCCATTGTAGCATTTTTGTCCACCATGACAGCATCTTCGTTTTACTTGACCAATCACAGAGAAGCAAAACGAAGATGCTGTTATGGCGGACCAAAATGTTACAATTCCAAATAAGTTTCCTTTTCTATTTTAACGGTAGGTGTCGCATTGGTATTACTTTTTACATTAGATTCTTGTTCAATCTATGAAAAAAAAAATTGAAATTATTGTTATTTTTAAACAAATAAATTTAAAATAAACGTAAGAAGAATATTTTATGATATGTTTCTTTTTTTTACTCGACCGTTCAAAAATTATGCATGTTGAATGAAGAGCTTATATATTGTCAAGTCAAAAAATGTATCATTGTGGAATGACATAGAGTGACATTTAAATCAGCGCCGCATATCGGATTTATTTCGCTTAGCAAAGGGGGAAACGTCGTACTCGCTCCTTTTATAGTTCGAAATAATATATTACTATTTTCATATAGACATTCTTCTATTAAGGAATAGTTATCAAATGGATGGAACTTTATTCGTGAGCCATTTTTTTTTATTTTCACATGAAATTCACAACAAATGAACAACGACAAGATTGAGTCAACCAGTGGTTTGGCTATGGTACCTCCCCATTAAGAACCAGCTTACACTGGATAATATGAACTCTTTATTGTGAAAAACCCATGTTTTGATTTGATACCCCCCATAAATTCATCGTTGCTACGCCACTGGAGTCAACCATCGACAACAACTTTCAACAAAAATGATGATATGTGGGAAATAAATATTAAATAAACCGTAAATACTTTATCCGTCAATATCAACATATTAAAACTACTTTTCTTCACACAGGAAATAAATACATCGACATTTATACGACATGTCAGGATCTAGTTGGCAATTCGTATAAAATTCGATTTGCTCGTATACTTTCATGCAAAATATCTCTCTTTATATTCACTTTTGTGCGGAACTTAAGACAAATGAAGAAGATTTACACAAAAAAGAATACACAAAAACGATATTTTAGATGAAACTATACGAACAAGTAGAATTTTATACGAATTTCCAACTAGATGCAAATTCTATATGGCATGTCGTATCGTGTCGTATAGTTTTCAATGTATTTGTTTGTCTATCGAGTGAAAATTAAATTAAATTCGTAGAAATCTAGGTAGAAATCCATTCACAGAATACATGTTCAGTTCACATTTTTGCCACCTTTATTTTCATTTATATGAAACTGGATAAATATGACGATATAAGTGCAACAAGCGCCAGCCATCTGAAAATGGAAATCTCGTATAAAAAGAAGGTCTAAATAAGGTAAAACGACTCAATTTACTCCAGCAAAAAACCGTCGATCGATGATAAAGAATCCTTTTCCACTAAGCGATATGTCCAACTGATCGATTTGTAATAAGAGCCCCTGTTTGGCATATTGTAGTTTTTCATTGTCACCAACGCCAAACGTTAGTTTTCCAATGTTTTTGATCAATTCAATTTTCTAGCATGGAAAACAATAAATTATACTATTAAATAATATTGGAAAAAAACCGGAAAAATCACCTGAGTGCTATAGTTATGGCATGAATTTATCAAAATCATTGTTGTTACAAAAGCAATTGAAAAGTAGCAGATTGTTCCTGTTGAGAAACAAAAATATGATAAAACTGTAAACGAAAAGGCCTCTTTATTTTACTGGAGAAAATATGACCACATATGTGAAAAAAATATTTACGCATAATTTGTATGACAGTGCCATTGCCAGAAATCAGCCGATACATGTCATACGGATGAATTGTGAGTTGAATGAATTTATCTAAGAGCACTGCCAGCAATGTCCAACCAAAACGACGTTCAATGTTACTTTTAATCACCCATATTTTCAAATACACAAACGATATGTAATTTAGTAGATGGAAACGCCGATTTCCATCGAGTTTCTCCAGTTTTGAATGTCGATTCAGGTTCGTGTTCAAGAACTTCAAAATGGAATGCATCAAGTCGACGTGGAACAAAAAAAAGAGTTCAAACGCGACATTGAATATATTCATGAATGCAATAATTCTTCCAATCATTTTGCTGCATGCAAACACAGGGATAAATTCACGATAAATAAATTGAAACAACTGAAAACTCAGTCTAATGAAAATGTTGCGATTGTGACATCGTATAAATTTTCCAACACTGAAATTTACACCAAACTCGCGTTCGATATCAGCTATCAAGTCGAGCACAATATTCGGAATATTCTGCAAATTGGTTTTTGTAGTAGAGATATTTGAAATTATCATTAACACACTTGGGAGGATGATGATCAATTTGAAAATGTCCAACAACCAATCAGTTAGAGATTTTTTGACATTACATGTGTCATCGATGGTAAGATCTGTACAAATAATTGTTATTATCGAATGGACTATTAATGGAATCCATTTTAAATATTTTTGATTCAAAGTTTTGGGAGCGCAGACTGTTTGAGCGGTTAAAAAATAGAGTAAAATATACTTGTTGAAACTCTTGACTTCCATGATGATACTTTGCTTCGTTCGTGTGGAATTGAAGAAGATTGGAACTATACTAATTACGTCGTTCGGAGTCAATGGTTTTCTGGAATCGATTTGTTTGACTGAAAGTGGGAGAGTCGGCAGAAACTTTGTGGTGTTTCGTTAAAGTTTTAGAATTTCCAGAGAACTCCAGGAACAATTAGTGATATTGATTTTATATTTAAGTAGTTTTCGAAGAAAAACCTTTCAATGATAGAACAGAACATGCCATTATTGAATTCATGGGTGAATAAAACAAAAAACGTCAACATTTATTTATGATTCTATTGAAAATATGGAGAGGAGAGTATGTTTTTATTCAGACATTACTCAGCCATAAGCGCTGAATAACATACTCTCTTCTCGATATATTCAATAGAATTAACGTATGAGTATTTTTGAAAATTTATATAATTATTGATAATTATTTATTACACGATTGTTTGAAATGATCCAATAAACATGTAAACGTCATTTATTTCATTATTTTTCTCACTCTTTTGAACTTCGCGCAAAGCAAATTCGATCGCGGTTTGACAGATATCATCAATTCGCCGTTTTAAACGATGAACTGATTTCGTTGTCATCGTCTCTTATGCCGAACTTCATTCGGCTGTACCAACTACTGCGCTCTCGGTCATTTTGTCATCATGTTTCACGTTGTGCAGACCCTAGTCTTCATATTATTCCATCTCAAAGCGTAAAAATAAAGTAATTACAATTGAATCGAATTGCAAATCAATAAAAGCAAAGTTATATTCATCGGAAGAAACTAAATTTTCTAAAGGAATTTTGAAAGTGGGCAACATTTTTCGATTTTTTGTCATTTACGTTCATTTATACAGATCGTGGCACACATACACACCAAGGTGAGTAAAGAAAACGCTTGGAAAAATAAAAGCGAATGCTGTTTCTTACACTATTCCAAAGTTGCTATTCTCATAAAAACTGTGAAATAATTATTTGCATTGAAATCTGCTTGGATTTACCCAAAAAACAACATTTTTTCGTCATATAAAAAAAGTCAATTCTTTGAATTAATATCCAATATGGCGTCTATGGCCACCATACACACATATTATGCATTGAAATAATGACGTCATGATCATAAGTTTTCAGTTTCTATGTTCGTTGTTGCGCAAAAAATCGAAATAGCGTAAAATTAATCCAAAAATAAAGAGTCTTACGGGAGTAAGACGAACTTTTCCGCACTGTGGTAGTTGCGTATTTTATTAAGAAAGTTCAAAATAATATATTTGTTCGATTTTTCAAGCCATTCAAGCGGCGTAAAGTTCGAGACCAAAAAATATGTTCAAGCCTTGGCATCGAAATATTCTTTAATTTAATAGCAGAAGTACTCGAGAAAAGATTTTTCATACTTTCATGATGAAACCATTTGTACGACATTTGAAAGTATTCTATTTTCTAACAAAACACTATAAAAATATATCTGACGTTAATTTTGCCATAAAGATTATTTTTGAAACACTTTTCATAACTAAAGTCACAACAAATTTGGATTTTTGTATGGGAGCCATGTCTGTATGCTACCTTAATGGCGTGAAACTTTGCACAGGTTATTTTTTTCACAAATAACATTCGGATGCTTTGGAGAAATTTCAACCAAAATCAAGAGTACCTCCCATACAAAATATTCGTTTTTGAGCCAATTGAAAATTTTGTATGGGAGGTACCCCTAATTTTAAATGAAATCTCTTCAAATTTTCAGAATGTTATACTTTTGTGTAAAAAATAGTCTGTGCAAAGTTTCACGTCATTAAGGTAGCATACAGGCATGGCTCCCATACAAAAATCCAAATTTTTTGTGATTTTTTCAAGGAAACTGTTTCAAAAATTGATTGTATCTCAAAACTAACGTCGGATTCGGTTTTCTCGTGCCAAAAAATCCCCCAATACATATTTTTGAGTGTTTAAGTCTTCATTAAGTATGACTTTTGGACGAAAATTGGACTCTTTTTCATAGGTATCACTCCAGGCATGACATTTTTTTCCATCAACCAAAATCGCTCAAAATCTAATGATTTCTATTCCTTGGGACCCCCAATCATCCCGTGAAGTCAGATTTTAAATAACTTTTCTGGGTGGTGAGATAATCGATGGACAAATTTTGCGTACGGCGGACAACGTACGACGTACGACGTACGACGTACGACGTGGAACAGACCCACAACAACCATGCTCAAAACGGCCTGATTCGGGTTCTCTGACCTCAGAAACGTCCAGAAAACATGTTTTTGAGGTTTCGTAAATTTTGACCTATTGCAATACTTTCCCCTTTCACACTAGGTGTGTGCGAAAAAGTAATAACTATTTGACACAATTAACGCAACAAACACACCAATTAAATTTCATAGAATTTTATTTGTGCAAATAGTCTTCGTTTATTGAATGTTACTAATGAAATGTATTTATTTTTCTCTGTTATTTATCGTCATGTTTGATTCAGGAAGACAATGAATCCATTTCAATGTAAGGATGTTAGTGGCGGAAAGGTTGGCCACAAGTGCAAATGCAGGCCAAGGTGTTCACAAATCACGGTGAAGAAAGAAGCCACCGTCAAAGAAGAGCCGAATGATATGATTCAGTACTCACCGCCACCATCGCCAATTGGAACGGGCGCCACCATCAAATCGGAGAGCGAGAGTGACGACGACTGTTTGCACAACGATATCAAGGAGGAAATCAAATGTGAAGATGAATGTGCTAAGAAGCAATGCGATACAGCACACGATGATGGCGAAGGTGGAATCGATGATAATGGTCCAGTTTGCGCTAATGTTGACAATTCAACCCGTAATGAAATGCCACACACATCAAAAGGCAATGGAACGAAGCCAAAAAGTGCAAAGAAAGCACGCAAAGGCAAAACATCAAAGAAAACGAAGGTTGCGCCACAGCTGAAGAAGCATAAATGTAATATATGCAATTATTCGGCATCGTACAAGTCAATACTTACACGCCACATACGAGTTCACACCGGAAAGAAGCCTTTTGTGTGTGAAATATGTGCAAAGGCTTTTAAAGAGAAGATTACTCTGAAGCGGCATAAGATAGTCCATGCAGCACAATTTCCATTCGGTTGTTCGAAATGCGGTAATGGTTTTATCCAAGAAATCGACAAGATTAACCACGAGACAAAATGCAAATGTCCTCAATACCAATGTCATTTATGTAAAAGCACAACTCGATATTTGTCAAATCTGTCAAATCTGAAGCAGCATATGCGAATCCATAATGGCGTGAAGCCATTCAAATGCACTGTTTGCTCCAGAACATTTAGTATGAAAAGTTCTCTCAACGCTCATTTACGGACTCACACATGCTCGCGACATTGGCGAACAAATATAAAATCGGGAATCAGCGCCATGTACATCATGGTGAAAAAATATGTAAACATCCAATTGATACAATAGAATAGAATTGATACAATAGATTGTTGTCAATTGTCAATTTCGATTTATATGCCCAGTGAAGTGACAACCAAAATCTAAACAAATAATCCGGAATAAAAATATTTTATGTGTTTTAATTGCTAAAATATGCATAACAAACTAATTTAATCTCAAAACGTTTCTCATACATTTTTTTTCTTTCATGGCGGAATTGACGTTTGATATCATATTTGATATTTTTCTCGGTGAAGTGAAAAACAAATCTATATTCTAAATATAAATAATCCGGAATAGAAACATTATGTGTTTTAATTTATTTTAATTGTAAAAATAATGTATATTTGAATAAAATAAATAATTATATGTTTAATAATTGTAGTTTCTTGTGACACTATGTTTGGTGGTTCTGAGCACCAAATAGCGTTGGTTAGAAACCAGTTCCACTTGGATCCCAAGGAGAGCTATGTATTGGTGATGAAATTAATATTATTACTCCGGAATGTGTTTTA